AATTATTAGATTAAATCGATAAAAATCGACGATGGTAAACGTTGTCAGCGTTTTCCATCGTCGATTCGTCGGCTAAAATTTAAATTTCCCACTCACGCCCGCCTGTTCGCAGCTCCATACCCGAGTTACGCTATGCCCGCTGCAGACGCCATGCCCACCGTGCACACGGCCGCCGAACACACGCCCGCAGAGCACGCCGCCGCCGCGACTTACAAGGGTTCAGAAACAGGTAAGGGGAACCTGTTTTAATGTTTCCCGTTTAAAGAAAAAAAAAGCGGCACACTGTAGAACACCAGCAGCTATAAAGGAACAACAAGTCCCAGCAATAATACATTATACCGGGTGTTTAATGTATTGCTGGTACTTGTTGTTCCTCTATAGCTGCTGGTATTCTGCATTTCGCCTTATAATCATTATACAGCGCACTGCAGAATGCCACCAGCTATAGAGGACTACAAATCCCAGCAATAGTACATTATAGTATAATGTACTATTGCTGGCATTTGTTGTATTCCTATATAGCTGCTGGTATTCTGCATTTCGCCTTATAATCATTATACAGTGCAATGCAGAATAACCCCAGCTACAGAGGACTACAAATCACAGCAATAGTACATTATAGTATATACAGTACTATTGCTACATTCCTCTATAGCTGCTGGTATTCTGCACTGCGCCGCTGTATAATGTACTATATTGCACACCACACTTTTTTTTACTTCTACCACGTCAAGCTTGCTCCCGTGATGGACTACAATCTCAATAAAAACTAGTCCATCACTGGAGCCTTTTTTTTTAATCCGATTAGTCGATCGAACTTAATAAATCGGCTAACTAATCGATTATGAAAATAATAGTTAGCAGCAGCCCTACTGTACTCTATACCGAAAAACTGGTATCGGTGAAACCAATGGAGGACTCTCTAGCCAGAAGATAGACACAGGACCTGGCAAGTCATTCGTCTACAAGTAAAGTATTTGGGCTTTATTTTATTTTTTTTAAAGTAAAACGGACAAACAGCCTGTAGAGGTAAACTTGAGTTACAGGGGAGCCCAGGCTAGGGGTGAGATTTAAGATACATTATACACACACACACGACAAAATTTTCATAAATTTAGTTTTGTATGCCACCGCAAATGGATTTGAAATGAAACCACCAAGATGCAATTGAAGTGCAGACATCTTTAACTCAAGGGGTTGGGGAAAAATGAAAATACATTTATAAAATAATTGAAATGTTTAGAAATTGCAACAATTGTCACACATAGTCCCCTTGAAGTCTGGACATCACCAAACGCTGGGTTTCCTCCTTAATGATGCTTTGCCAGGCCTTTACTGCAGCTATCTTCAGTTGTTTGTGGGTCTTTCTGCCTTAAGTTTTGTCCTTGGCAAGTGAAATGCATACTCGCTCAAGTTGAGATAAGGTGATTGACTCGGCTATTGCAGAACATTCCACTTGTTTGCCTTTTAACCCCCTGGGTTGCTTGCGCAGTAGGTTTTCGGTTATTGTCCATCTGTAAAGTGAAGCGCCGACCAATCAACTTTGCTGAATCTGAGCAGACAATATATCCCTATATACACACTTCAGACTTCATCCGACTGCTTCTGTCTTATCAGTAAACATCAGTGATATTGCAGTGATAACCAGGGCGGTTGTAACTTCTTCCAGGGCGGTGGTATAAATTAAATTTAGTTTAACAAGTTATTGACCGTACCACTTGTGAACCATAATTTAACCCAGGTTGGTAGTATAATTCAGTATAATTTATTTATCTTAATTTAATTTAAATTATTTAATTTAACAAACAAGTTATTGAACAGGCCACTCGTGATCCACTAAACCCTAGAAAATAAAACTACAGTTAAATAATTAATCTTATATAATCCCTAATATACACTAAAAATAAAAATAAAATAAATAGTAAGGGTGGAATAAAATAATGTCTTCCATGAGTGGGTATGCAACCAGGTGCATAGCCTCCACTGTGTTTTACAGTGGATGTGGTATGCATCGGATCTAGAGCTGCAGCTAACGTTTATTTTCAAAATCGATTAATCAAATTTTAAAAATGGCTCCAGTGATGAACTACTAGTTTATATTGAGATTGTAGTCCATCACAGGAGCGAGTTTGGAGCGGTGGAAGTAAAAAAGAAATAAAGTGTGGCGTGCATTATAGTGAAAATGGAAAGTGTAAAATTATACAGCAATCAATACAAAATGGCACCGGCTATAATACACTATGAATCCCAGTACATTTTAACTGGTGGTATTCTGCACTGCACCTGTACTATTGCTGGGTTTTGTAGTTCTCTATAGCTGGTGGTATTCTGGGATTTGTAGTCCTCTATACATCGCAATGCAGAATACCACCAGCTATAGAGTACAACAAATCCCAGCAATAATACATTACACAGCGCAATGCAGAATACCACCAGCTATATAGGAAGACAACAAATCTCAGCAATACATGATACATACAGTGTATCATGTATTGCTGCGATTTGTATTCCTCTATAGCTGATGGGTACATTGTGCTGTATAATATACAGCACAATGTACCCATCAGCTATAGAGGAATACAAAATTGTACTATCCCAGCAATACATTATAGAGCCCAATGTGGGGGGCCTGGGCAGTCTTCCAGCAAGCTGCTTCTGAGATCGGACCTGTCTGTCAGCGGCTATCGCCCCCCCACGCTTGCTCCTCCTCCTCCTCCTCCTCCCCTCGTCCCTGTGCGGATCGTGGATGTGGGCAGGTGGTGGGTCGTGTGGAGCATAAATGCGAGCGGGCAGGTCTGGCAGCGGCGAGCGCAAGGTGGGTAGGAGGTGTGGGGTCTGGCATGTGTGGAGCCGCGAACAGGGCCAACTAATCAAAAGACTAATCTGGCCTTTCTATTCTGGAGGCTGATGACTGGTTTGCACCTTGTGCAGTCTTTTTTATGGTGGACTTGGATAATATTATGGACTACCTTCTGAAGAGTGTTCTTCACTTGGCTGGATGATGTGAAGGGATTTTTTTCTGGTCACCTTCAAAGACCACATCAGAGAGATTTGTTTCCGGTGGGAGGAGCCTATCACCCACACCTAAAATAAAAAGAGTACCAGCCTAGCACACTTCAGTTATTTTGTGTTTCCTCCGGCCGAGCAGGACATCGTAACATTTGTTATTTTAGTGAGCAGGGGCTTCCCCCGGCATGGAGTACAGCAGAGGGTCAGTGGACCTGGGGTATCCATGACGGGGGGCTTCCAGGACAGCCCCAACTGTCAAAAAACAAGTTTTAAATGCCTGTAGTTTCCTGCATAAGTGTATGCATGGCAACTAAGCTTTTTGGTGCTATGGACTCGGGGGAGTCCCCCTAGTGCTAAAACCTCCGCTTCAGATTTTGCCTGTGTATGGTAATTTTTTCCCCTCTTACCTGCAATGCTGCAGCCGCTCCGGCGGCGGCTACAACGACATTCCCTCCGGTCTCCAAGCAACAACAGGGCAACCTGGTCCAGTAGTTTTGTTACAGGAATAGCCGGTGGATGGCAGGGAGCCGCTGATATGGCAGCCCTCGTGGAGACAGGGGAAATATATTCCGGCGGACGATTCGTAAGGGCGGAAGTGACTTTTTCGCGCACTTCCGGCCGGGTCCGCAGAGCGTTTGACGTCACTTCCGGGGGCGAG